TTAGAAAAATCTTAAAATAAAACAAAGTTACCTAGCCAAATTTACGTTTTTTCGGTCTAGAATGTTACATAATTTACAAAATTATGTACGAAAAGAAATACTTTAACAAAATTTTCAAAGGAACTGGCTTTTATAAATTGTTTTTGAAGCCTTTCGTTATATTCTTTTAGATTCTTTGACTTTTTTTAAGAAAATGTTAAATTTAACCTGTTTGAAGCAAAAATTTATTATTGCTTCAATCAGAAATAATAAACTAAATCTGAAATTTATAACTTTATGAACTAAAATGTAATGAATATCACAATGTAAATTTACAATTACAATCAAATCCAGGGTACTTTCAAATATATTTATTAAAACATGGGGTACTTGGATTATTATAGACCAAAACTCCATTAAAAATTTCGTGTCTTGAGATTTGACATTTTATGATATTTAATTTAATTCACAGCAGATTTTAAATAAAGTGTATGACATACTGTGACAAATTCATTTATCATTTTTTTATAAATATATGACTTTAAAATGTTGCCACAGCATAATTACGATGTAAATCATCTTAAACATTTTTTTATTTAAAATATGTTTAGTCAGTTCTTGATGACAATATCTTATTACCTTCTGCGAGTATCTGCGAGTATCTGCGAGTATCTTCTGTGTTTTTTTTTGTTAACAAAGTTTGTTATTTTAATTATTTGTATTTTATTCATTCTTTTATTGTAAAAGTTATTTTGAATAAACAAAAAGTAAAAAATAAATTAAAAAAAAAAATTAATTAATATGCCTCTTAATCTTCCTAAATATTTTTATACACAGAAGCTGTTATATAAAACACAGTATAACTAGTCATTTGTAATAGTAAAAACTTTTCCTTTTCTTAAACTCTGAAAACACAAATATTAGAAGATACTTGATTGAGTGTAAACTTACCAGATTTAGATTAACCATTAAAATTAGGATTTGGCATTTTTGTGTCAAAATTACTTTTACTGCCATAGCTTCATTAATATTTGCTACATTTATGTGGTGGTACATTATTCATCACAAACAAGCTCTAAAAACAAAAAATCAATAATGATTCTAATAATTAAAATTCTTTTCTTTAAAGTTCTTTCATATAAAATAACAAAATAAGAAAAGGAATCAAACCTGTATAATGGAGTGTTATTATCACAGTAGAAAAAAGTTTGGAGCGTACATACTAAAACAAAATATATAAAAATATATACTACAAACATCAGCTCGATAGCATCATTGTTGGCAATTCTTCGTAACGTTTATTGAAAGCGTTTTAAAAATGAAATTATAGAGAAAAAATCACTTTGGATGTTGGACATGAGAGCAAATCAAGCACTTCTTAAAATATTTAGATAAAAGAAATATGTCATTAATAGTACATCATTATTTAGACCTCACCTTAAATATTGAACTCCATTAAGGAGTTTACATATACGGAAACATGTTATTATGATTGAACAACTCCAACATAGAGCAAATCGTGTTTATAGTTTAAAAGATTTATCATGTTTAAACTCACTGATAAACCTTTTTCTCCACACTAAAAATTAAAAGCTCAAGAGGTGGTGTGATATAACTATACATAACTGCTTATGACTTGGATGCAATAAATTGGCATAATGCTTCTCTATAAAAAGATTTCACAAAATAATAATTTTTTGAAATCTTTTTTTTAGAGATTTTTTTTTTCAAGAAAATAGTAAATAGAAGAGATAAGCAAAAAGACCCAAAAAGTTGAGGATACCCAAAATTGCATTATAAAATGCCTTTTCCTGTACGAAAAATTACTTAAAGTCTAAAAATTTTGAAAAAACAAAATTATACTGATTTCTTTAGGAATCTTTTGTTTTATTTTTTTACATTCTGTGGATTTAGTATTCCAAGAAAAAAATATATTTAACCTAGGGGAAGCAAGAGAACCCATATTTTTTATGAAAAAAAATTACTTTTTCGGAAAACTACTTAAAACCAAAAATTAAGAAAAAATCGTCGAAAAAACAAGTTTTATTTAAAATTTTTTGGAATAAGTTGTTATTGTTTTGTATATTCTGTGGATTTATTAAAGAAAATAATAAATAGAATCTGTGTAGAGCAAGGGAACGTTAGTTTTCTATTTTACAAAACACAAGAATCTAAAATTTTAAAGATTTTAAAACCTTCTTTATATAAATATGACGAAATCTTCAAAGAATTTTTTTTGATATCTTTTGTTATAGTATTGAAATTTCTGTTGGTTCAAGAAAATAAAAAAACCTGATGCAAGAAAATGTTTTTGACCTAACAATGCCTTTTTCAGTACGAAAAATGTTTTAATTCAAAAAATAAGACAAAATCTTAAAAAAAAACAAGTTTTTCGTAGATTCTCTAGGTTTATTTTTAAAAAATGTTAAATTGAATTTTAAGGAAGCAAGGAACCCATATTTTTAACGTCAAAATAACTTTTTCTGCGCGATAAATTACTTAAAATCAAAAAATAAGACAAATCTTAAATAAAGTAAAATATCACTAGTTTTTTTTTTTAATTATTTGTTTTTGTTTAAATTCTGAAAATAAATTTTACAGATTCTATTATTATTATGTTATAATTATTATTATTATTATTATTATGTACGAAAAATTATTTAAAATCAAAAGATAAGACAAAATCTTCAAAAAAAACAAACAGGTTTTTTACTGATTTGTTTTGGAATGTTTTTTTTTTGTTGAAAATCTGTTGGATTTTTAATTCTGTTCGTTTATTCAATGAAGTTGTTATACTAAACCAGAGAGTAGCTCAAGCACCGAAGCTTTTATACAAAAATAACTTAAAATTAAAAAAAGAGACATAAAATCTTCAAAAAAACATTTTTTTACTAATTTCTTTTATAATCTTTAAGTAAGTTTTTATAGATTCTGTTATTTTATAAAGTAATGGTATACTTAACCTGAAGAAAGCAATGGAACCCAGGTTTTTTACGTCAAAATGGCCTTCTCTGTAAGAAAAAATACATTAAGTCATAAAATATGATAAAATCTTTGAAAATCTTTGTTTACGTTAATTTTTTTTAATCTTTTGTTATATAGTTGTAAATTCTATAAGTTTACTCAAAAAAGTGTTAAACTAAATGTGGAGGAAGTTTGTGGGACCCAAATTTTTTGTGTCAAAATGTCTGTTTTTGTACGAAAAATTTCTTAAACTCACAAAATAAGACAAAACCTTCAAAAAAACAGGTTTTCGCTACTTTTTTGAAATCCTTTGTTTTATTATTGTAGATTGTGTGGGTTTATTCAAAAATAAATATTAAAACTGTCAGAAGAGAATTTAAGTGTTTAAGAAGAGAATTTAAGTGTTTAAGAAGAGAATTTAAGTGTTTAAGAAGAGAATTTAAGTGTTTAAGAAGAGAATTTAAGTGTTTAAGAAGAGAATTTAAGTGTTTAAGAAGAGAATTTAAGTGTTTAAGAAGAGAATTTAAGTGTTTAAGAAGAGAATTTAAGTGTTTGTCAGAAAGAAGAAGAAAAAAAAAAAAATGTCAAAAAGCTTTTTTCATGACTCAAAATTGCTTAAAATCAAAAAATAAAACAAAATCTTTCAAAACATATTGTTTCTGATTACATTTTTATTCGTTTGTTTTATTTTTGAAGATTTTGTGAGTTTCTTCAAAAAAAAATCTAAACCTGAGAAATAGCAAAAAAACAACAGTGCAAAAAAACCAAAAGTGCTTTTTACTGAAAACCTAACTGTTAATTTTTATTTCATTTCTTAAACTTTAGTGGATTCTGACAATTTGTTACAAAAGATGTGAAAATAAAGCTAAGACACCAAGCTAAGTTTATGTTTTTTTGATATACAATGTTTTTTAAATGATTTTTGAATTTTAAAAAAATGAATATTTTTCTAAAATACACAAAAAAAAAAAAAAGGATTTTACTTTATTTTGGAATCTCTTCATATAAATTTGTAGATTATGTGGGTTCATTTAAAAAAAACCATAAACTCAACCTGAGAAAAGTAAGGGAATCTCAGTTTTTTTAATTTCTAAATGTCTTTTTCTGCCTGAAAACTTACTTAAAGTCATTAAATAAGTTAAAACTTTGAAAAAAACAGATTTTTGCTGATTTCTTTTAGATTCTTTTTTTATATTTTTGAAGAATATGTGAGTTTATTCAAGAAAATCTAAAATTAAACCAAACGGAAGCAAGAAAACCAAGTTTTTTACGTCAAAATTTCTTTTTATGGACGAAAAAAAACTTTTAGAATCTCTTCAATATATTCTCCTAGATTATGTGGGCTTTTTAAAAAAATGTTAAACTAAACCCCGAGGGTAACAAAGGAAGTGTTTTCTTCGTAAAAATACTGTTTACTGAACAAAAATTCACTTAAAATTAAAAACTTAGTAAATTTTTTTAATAAAAACAAATTTTTAATGATTAATTAAAAATGTTTGTTATTATATTGTGAACTCTGTCGGTTTACTGCAAAAGATACAAAAAAGAAGGCTAAAGCAAGCTAAATTTATGTTTTTATGGTCTAAAATGCTTTTTAATTGATGAAATAGTTTACAAAAATGATTATTTCTCTCAATCTACAAAAAAATAGGTTTTTACTGATTTCTTTTGATATCTTTTTATACATTTTTGTAGATTTTGTGCGTTTTTAAAAAAATATTAAACAAAATCTGAGGAAAGAAAAAAAAAAGAACAACATTTCCAATAAAACAGGTTTTTATCGAAAATTTTTGGAATCTTTTGGCATAATTTTGTTATTTCCGTGAGTTTATTTAAAAAAACGTCAAACTTTTAAATAGAACTTTTGTGAGGTTTAGTATAACGTTTTTTTTTTTAAATGAACTCACGGAAATAACAAAATTATAGGTTCCTTTGCTTTAGATCACGTTTAGATGGCATTTACATCTATCTAAACGTTTAGGAATCTATTCTAAACGTTTTCTGAATATTTAGTTTTCGTTGAAAAGCAAAATCAAACAATTTCCGTACGGAACTAACTTTATTAAATTAGTTTCGTACAAAATGTGTCGGACATTTTAAATCTTTCATTATGATTAAAAATTAGAGTTTCTTATTAATCTTAAATTATGTAATAAATGGTTTAGAAAAGATAAAAGAAATTTGTTTTAAGTATTATATTGTGGCTAATGAAGCAGTTAAAAAGTCCTGTAACTTCTTCGATAATACTGTATGAGCGATTAAAAGTAATTTTAAGTACAGTAACAATGTATTTTGATAATTCTTTTTTTTCAGTTATTACGACTAAAATAGCAGTTTCAAAAAAGTAGCAGTAGTTTCAAAAAAGTAGCAGTTTTAGCATTTTTTTAAAACTATTTCTTAAATTGTATTTTCTGTTTGGTTTTTAACAACGCTATAGAACGTCTATTTAGCTTCCTAATTTTTCTACTTTTAATAAAAGTAGAAAAGTTATGAAAAATAGTTATTACTTATAATGCATAAAATTTCTCTAAAAGTTTTAGAAAAAAATTATGCATTTTAAGTCGTAACTACTTATTAAATAACTAAATAAAATTATTATTTTTTGTTTATATTAAGACCTAACATCTATTTGTTTATGATAGATGTTATATTGATTGAATAGCAATGTTATAATATTTATACTTTTAGTGCAGTCAGTGTCAATTAAAAATTGTGAGGTTCAAATATTTATTTGAACCTCACAAATTTTAAAGGTAAATATCTGACAGATATTGAACATCTGTCAGATATTTACCTTTTAAATCTAATTGCTCAGGCTTCTGAAAAGCTATTTATAAAAATTCAACACTTATAAATTAATGTAAGATTAATGGTAATTCCTGTTATATTTAAAAGGTACGTTGATGATTGCTTCCAGTCTTTAAAGTTTAAATAAGTTAAAAGAGAGTTCAACTTGTTCTGTTTTTATTTTATGCTCTATATCTAAAAGCTATTGAAATATTTATTGCATTATTTTTCATTTATTTTATTATGTTATGAAAGACCTACCAAGCTTGAAATTTTACAGGTGGAAATATATAGTATGTATATTATCCCTCGGAATTAGGAAAACTAAAGTAAGCAAAAAAAGCTAATAAAAACTAGGCGACTAAACTTATTTAAAACACTTTTAACAAGTTTAGTTATAAGTTAATGTTATGTGTTGATGTACCTTCAACCAAATTAGTGTTAACATTTTAGCAAAATGTCATATCGTCAGGCTGTTAGATTGGAAGTACCAAAAGCGTCATATTTTATTGAATTGTTATTTTAGTTTGTGATATAATAATTTTTATTTAAAAAATGTTAAATAATTTACTTTTAAATTTTATTTTTTATTGCTTTGGATAAGATGTTTTGTTATTCTTTTTACAGATTGTTATGAAGATTGCAATAGTTTTAAATATCAGAAACTGAAGAAGGTATTGATACTCAGCAGATAATAAAAAAAGCAAAAGTACTGATTATTCAAATCTCTTAAAGGTTTCATTTTAATTTATTAATGTTTATATAGAAACTAATAATATATAAACTGATAATAATAACATACAATTAATCCATAATTGTGCATTACTCAATCTAAATTAGTTTTTATTTCAATTTCTTTGGAGTTAATATTACTAGTTTAATGCAATTACAGTAGAAATGGTTAATTATGGAAAAATTGCACTAAAAATTGAATAAATCGCTTGTTAAAGCAAATAATATTATATATATATATATATATATATATATATATATATATATATATATATATATATATATATATATATATATATATTATAAATTTAAAAATAATAGTTTTATTTAGTTTGTTCTAATTTTTATGTAAAAAAAAAAAAAAGAAGCAAGTTTTAATTAGTAAATGATTAATCATTTTTACGGTAAAATAAAAAAATTTTAGAAGAATTTTAGTTTAATGCTAATGCAAAAGGTACGAATATTGATAAGTTAGCTAATTTGATGTTACAATAAACATGAAATAGAGTTTGTAAAGACCTTAGTGCTAGAAAAACTTGCATGCATTAAGTTAAGATTATGCAAGTAAGTTGTCCTATTTTTATCTTTGAAGACTAATAATAGTTGCAATGAACATATCTCAGACAATATACACTCGGATTTACATTTTAGTTAAACCATCACCACTTCCACAACCACCTTGTCTCAAGCATTCAATCACATTCTAAGATATCTTTATTGAAATAAAGTGTGACTACTTTACCAAAAGACTCTAGAATGGACCAATCAAGTAAGATGTCTAAATTTATATCTTTTATATAAAACTTTTTAGATAAACCTGTTAATTCTATGACTGATAAACATATTTAGCAATGTAATCCTTTTAGGATAGACTTTTTAAAATCAAATTTACAATGCTTTAGTAAATTTTTATTTAAAATAACTTTGTTTACATAATATATCTATATAGTTATTTACATTGTAGCTAACCCATCAGTACTTGCAAAGTCTCCTTTTCTGTTAGCTCAAAAATTGAGTTCTAAAATACCATTATTCACATAACTACTATATCAAAGCACAAACTAATGATTAGTAAGCAACCGAGGTTGATATTTGACCGGGGCCAGGGCCAGGTTTATTAAAACATAGCCAGGGCTGGGTTTGTGACCGGGGCTGCATTAATATTGATATTCCTTATAAATATATTATTGTTATTTAAAATTCATGATATATTTTATATAAAGGTATATATATCATCTCATTGTCATCATCATCATCATCATTATCATCATCATCATCATTATCATCATCATCATCATCATAATCATCATCATCATCAAGCATACAGTTGATGATGATGATTAAGATGATTCTGATGATGATGATGAAAATGATCATCATCATCATCATCTTAATCATTGGCATCATTATCATCTTCTCTGATACACACTATAAATATAATTACTACTCTCATACTATCTCTAAGATCATTGCTTTTTTTCCTATCTTTTAAAGACACCATATATCTATTTATTTTTTCCGGATGAAAGAACAAACAAGCCAGCAACCTGGACATTCTAGAAAAATCAGTGGCCATCATGTAATAAATTGATTATTTGAAATTTTTAAACAAAGTTAATAGTGAAGAAATATTTAAAAATTGCTAACAATCAGGTTGTTTAAAATATCCTAAAATAAATTTCATAAGATAAATTTATTGTAAAATTGCATTTACATTTAAAATGTAAGTAACTTTTTAATTGTAATTTTAATCATTAGAATTACATAGTTGAGCTATTCAAGTATTTAAATGTAAAAAATAATAAGAAAAAATTTATTTAAATGTAAAGAATAATAAGAAAAAGCAAATAGATATTTCAGAAGATCCATTATTATATTGGAGTCTCATGAAAAGCGAGTTGCCAACGCTAGCAAACTTGGCAAAAGTATATTTATGTTCACCCTCAAAGCTCAACAACAAGTGAGAGGGAGTTCAAGGTCTCAAAGTTAATACAAAAAGATCGCATAAGACTTACAACACAGAATGTTGAAACACTTCTTTTTTTAAAATACAATTTAAGGGCTCTTTCTTATTCAACATATTTATGTGATGCCCCTGAAGACTTTACACCACCTAGTTCAAAATACTATGATGTCTGGGACACAGAATCATCAGAATCAGAGGAAGAAACTTAAATTATTATAAAGTGTCTTATTTCTTATTTGTCATTGTAAATATTTATGAGTTATATTATATATTATTTTTGTGACTTTTTCTTATATTTCCTTAAACTTTAACAAAAAATTTTAACTTGAAAAAATTTTAAAAAAAATCAACAAAAACCACAAAAAAAATTCAGCCCCGGCTAGTAACCCCTGCAAATTGTGTATGTTTAGCCGGGGCCGGGGCCGGGTTTGCAAAAACCTCTGCTTTTAGTTGGGGCTGGGGACCCGGTCACTTAATATAATGGATTGATCAAGTAATACTTAATTTTTAGCTTGAGTTGCTTGTTAGTACATATATGATTTTGATATATAAATTTTAATTATAATGTTTATTGATTAGTTTTTAACTTTAAGAATTTTAGGAATTACAATTTTATTTTTACATGTTTATTTATATTGTAGTGAAACTGTCGGTATCTCCACAACTTTTCAATTAAATAGAAAGTTTCAATCAAACAGGATACTGAGTGTACCTACTGCTCCTCAAGACAATGGATAATGGGAGTTATCAAACTTGCGATAACTACAAGTTTTTTTAATAAGGTTTTTATTATATAAATGTTATATATTATACCGAGTTTTAAAGAAATGTTCTTTTTGAATTCTTACTATAGTTACTCAATGTACACTGTACTAATGCACAATCTTCTATAATCTATAAAACTATGGATTTATAAATGTTAAATGAATGATTTATATGAATAGAATGAAGATGTTTATTGAGTTACTTTTATTATTTTTAGTAAAAAGATTGTATGACTTCGGTATCCGCAATATGGTATCGTGCATTGGTTCTTATCTTAGAATGGCTCCCTTCCGTTTAGGTGAAAATAAGAAAGGTTATCAGTTCAAGCAAAGATGACAATGATCATTATGGAGCCGATCATGATGACGAATACGATAATTCACATAATAATAAATAAAATGATTTTACTTGTATTTTAGACTTATAAATAAAAAATTATCTGTTTAATATTTAATTTGTTTTTGAGTATTTAGATAATGCGTTCAGCATTTAACTTTTCTTCACGGTACTTATTTAAAGCAGCTTAAATATAAGAAAAGTTTGATTCGTTTATCAATATTTTTTATTTATTTATGCTTCTTTAAATAAGCGCCGTAAAATAAAGTTAAACGTCGCGAAATTTAACGAAAGATTTAGATGAAGTTTAAATAGCGTTTAAAACGAACCATTTAGATATGGTTTAAATGGAACATTCGATTGACCTACGTTCTAAATCGAAACTAAATTAAATCTAAACATTTAGAACGAACATTAACTAAACGTTGATTAAATGTTCGAATGCCCGTTGGGTACGTTTTTGACGTCAAGTTGCCTTTTACTGTAAAAAAAACTCCATTAAAATAAAAAAATTAAGACAAAATATTTTTTAGAATCTAAATTTTGTCTAAAATTCAGACAAAATATCATTTAGAATCGGTCGTTTTAATTTTGTAGATTCTGTGGTTTTATTTAAAAAAATATTATGTTAAACTTGAGGAAGGCAAAGCAACCCAAATGTATCTTGTCAAAATACCATTTTCTGTTTGAAAGTATACTTAAAATCAAAAAATATGACTTTTTTTAATTTTAAGAAATTAGTGAAAAACTGCTTTTTTTCTTCAAAAAAAAGCAGTTTTTCACTAATTTCTTTTGCAAATTTTTGTAGATTTTGTAGGATTATTTAAAGAAAATGATAAATTAAACCTGAGGGAAGCAAATAAACCCAAGTTTTTTACTTCTAAATATAAGATAAAATCATCAAAAACATTTGTGGATTCTGTCGGTTTATTATAAGCATCGTGAAAATAAAGCTACGGCACCAAGCTAATTTTATGTTTTTTTTATCTAGAATGTTTTTTAAATGATGAAAGTTTTTACAAAAATGATTATTACTCTAAATTCTACAAAAAGCAATTTTTTTATTTATTTTTTTGGAATCTTATTCTAGATTCTTTATTTAAACAAATTCAATTTCGAAACATTATTTGCTTTACATTTGGAACTACTTGATTTTTTCATTTTAAGTCAGAGGTAAATACTACACCAAGATTTTTTTTAGCTACAATGGTACTTAAAGGAATAAAATGCATAAAATAAATTTTTTTGGATTATTTTTATCAAAGTGCATTATTAAACACTTCTCAAAATTAAACTTTAATAACTATTTGTTTGACCAGTTGAGAGCTTTATCTAGGTCATTTTGCAATAGGTTAACACTTGCTTGATAAATCTTTTGCATCATTGGCATTCATCTTTGAAATATTTACAATATTCTCAGGCAAACCATAAATATAAATAATAAATAGTAAAGAGCCAGTAACAGAGTCCTGCGATACGCCACTAAATATCAAATATTTCAAGGTAAGACAATTTCTCCTATAACAAAAATTTGTCTTTTATTTTATAGAAATGTTTTATCCATTTTAACAATGTACCAGAAATCCCATAACATTTATGTTTTATTAGTCTTTTATGGGGCACTTAATCAAATGCTTTTGCGAAGTCTAAGTAACTACAGGAATACTCTGAGATAAATAATACAAAATTACGTCTAATATCTCAATAAGGTTGGTTGAAAATAATCTTTCCCTAACAAAGCCGTGTTAATTTTCGAAAAAAGATTATTTCAATTTAGGAAATTCATAATTAAATCTTGCACAACTTCTTCTAGAGTTGGAAGTGAGTAAGTGAAGTAAGTAAAAGTGAGTAAAATTAGACGATAATTTAATGGCGGCAGTTTACTTATTTGAAATAAGTAATAATACTGGCTGATTTCCACTAAGCAGCTAGTTCACTAAACTTAATGGAACCTGTATATATATGTGCAGGTGGTAGAGCTATTCTATATGCGCAATTTTTAAGAATAAAGGTTTAGTAAGACAGATCTTACTAAACACGATTTCTCTGTATTTAAACGTTCTAATCTATTAAAAATATTTTTAAATTAAATTATACCAAAATCCAAATTTTTATTGATTCTAGACGCAAATGCTGGCAAATTAAAGTCATTCTCTCGAACAAATATATTTTGGAATTTAGTAAATTTACTATCTGGTTTTTCACTATTTCTATTTTCATTAAGTAATGCTTTATTTGTTGTTAGCTATTTATGCATTTGTAAATAAAACTTTAGATTTTCTTTAGCTAATAACATAAGATTTTTTTTCATAATTTTATTTGGTTATTTGTCAACAAGACAAATTTTATAAATTTTTCAATCTAATTAAGATTAATTTAGAATCTAAATATAATTCATAAACATTTACAAACATTATCCACTTTTTTTTTAAATTCAAGCCTTTTAATAGCATCTGGAAACGCAAAAACATTTTTTTTTGATATAGGTTTTTGAAGTCAATTTTTCAGAATTTCTTTTTGTATTCGATGTTTTGGTTTTGTATCCACTCCTAATATATCACAGCACACTTGTTTGGCATTATTAAGAAGCCCAGTTATATAAAAAAAAACTTTATAAAGCATAACAAACATAATCATATCTCAGGAGCAACAAGACAAATTTTAAAAATTTATCAATCTAACTTAGATTAACTTAGATTCTTGATCTAATTCAATAGCAATGTTTATATTCTTATTGTAATATATATAATTATATTCTTATTGTAATATTATTATATTCTTATTTTTTATATATATATTATAATTATAAAGCAGTAATTAAAAACTTAATTACAATCTATTTTAAAAGCATTAATGTAAATAAGTTCTTTATAAGTTAACTCATAATAAAACCTATAAACAAGCATGTTACAGCAACAAAAAAACTGGCATCACAATTATTAGACGTAAAAACCTACAAACCCGGCCATGCAATTAAAGTAGGCCACGGTTAATGTTTAATAACCCATTCAACAAACTTTCTTTGCTGTGATTGGTCATTTTGCTTTAGTTGTTGTGTTAAATTTAGTGCACAAGGAGATACAAATCTTCCTTCAATTACATTAAAAATGCTTTCTTTAATTACAATGGGGAATTTGCTCAAATGAATAAAAAATTTACCCTGCTTAACTTGATTTTAAATATATGACTTTTATACAAAGCATCTATTGAACCATTTTTATATAAAGCATCTATTGAACCATTTTTATCATCAACAAAGTTAAAAGGTAAAATATGAATATTCATGTAATTCGAAATTGAAGTAAAAAATAAAATGAGTTTACCATTTAACTTATTTCAAAGTGACTTAACCATTTAACTTATTTCAATGAGAAAATTTCTTTTTATTCCCCGTTTTACATAAAATTTATTTGCTAAATATATGAAAAAAATTATTGTCTTTTCTGCATCATTATGGTTGTAATAGCTCCGGTAATTTCATTAATCGTCCTGTTTTGTCCAAAATACTCAACAAAATTTCCTTCAGGATTAATAAGATACATAATAATGGTATGATCAACCTTAAAAAAAAAAGTAAATTACAAAACTTATTTAAAGACTAAAAAAATAACAAAAAATATATAACTTTCACTCACAATATAATCGTCGTCTTCGTCTTTGGGACCAGCAGAAAAGTAAACACGATATGCTTTACAAACTTTTTTAATTTGATCGTCTGTACCAGTTAGTCCAATAAAACGTTTATGAAAATCTAAAATTTAAATCTTTATCTATATTTCTTTATTTTATCTTATTTATCTTTTTCTATATACTTTATGATATACTCTATAACAATAAATGTAACATCTTTTAACATCGGGTCATGATATAAAAGTCTCACGCTGAATAATAGCAAGCTGTTGTTAACTTTTCAAACTTCTTACTTAAAATTGGCGTGAACCTAGTAAAGAAAGTAAATGGGTCGTAAATTTAAAAATATATACAAAATATATATATTTTGTATATATTTTTAACTTTAAGACTAGTTTACTTTCTTCAACTCTAAATGTTTAAGTATTATAATTTAATAAAAGTATGATAGACTTTTTGTACTGAGAAAGTATTTTTTGGTTTCATTATTATACTTAGGGGAGAGTATGCACCCATGATCCTAAAAATCTATCAGGCTAACTTACTGAATATATGTTTTTATTTCGATCTCTAAAATAACAGTACATAATAGCAAATTTTATACCTTATTATAATTCAATAATCATTTTTTTTACCAGAATATTTTAAGTAGATTTAAAATTATAAAAACTAAGAACGCTCAATTGGGATCATGGGTGCATACCAGTATGCTCCCTTGATCTTACTTATATGCACCCTTGATCCTATGTATGTATACTTGATTTGAGATCAAATTTATACCATGAATGTAAAAGAATAATTTTTAAGTCGTCAAAAAAATGTCTATAATAAAAACCAATAAAGTTATTTTTAATTTTCCTGCAAATTTATCTTTCTTAAAAAGAGAAAAAATTAATTAAAAAAAAGTTATTTTTTACTTAGACTCAACGTCAACGTTGAAAAAAAAATCTTATTTTGCGTTTCATGTTTTTTCTTTTTTAACAGAGATTTTTTTTTTATTTCCTGAAGCTTATTTAACTCATTTCGAACAGGAGTGACTATGAGTATTCGAGTACGCTGACGTTTACGTCCTTTAATGGATCTCCTTGATCCAGCTTTTGGAAATGGCCAATTTTTTTCTAGACTTACTTGATGAGAGATATTATTAGAAACACTGGATAGTTGACTTCCAGGGTCAAATATAGGCTGAATAGGCAATACACTACAGTATTGAAGACAAAAACTCATTATCAGAAAATATGTTAGGATTAAAGGATTAAATTCCTGCCACAGCAAATCCTGCAGAAATGTTAGACAAAGTAAAAGCTTGTGCATAGGCTTTCCTTACAACTAAAGCTATATCATACATGGTCATCGGTCTTGGATTAGGTACAATCCAATCATCACAGGCTGCATTGTAATAACGTTTCAAGGGCCCATAAACTGACCGATCTAATGGCTGCAACTTGTGACTACAATGTGGTGGAAAGGACACAATTGAAACATGGCTTCAAATGGACCACCATTTATCATACTTCCTTTGAAATGAACTCTTGGAAAAATAAAAAATGGAGGGATTGAGTTTCCTATTGCATTAACTGCACCACAAACTGTTACCAATGTCCCTCTTTCTGCTGAAGTTATCCTTCCAACTTGTTCTCCTTTTTTAGCAATTACTTTTACTGGTTTTTGAACATTTGTGAGACCTGTCTCATCAACAATATATATATCCTTCCAACTATGTTTTGTGGCTGAAACTTGTGTCGTAGACGAACATCTTTTAGATAGGTAAAAAATTCTCCGACTGTATAACAATTAAAAGCAGTTGCTCGTGCCATACTAGTAGCTTCTGGTTTTCGTAAAGATAACTCATTACGTAACATAAAACCACTACGTAACATAAAACCACGTTTCCCAGCAATTTGTAAACTTTTCCACAATTTAGGAATGTGCTTAGAAAGAGTCATTGCAAATTCATAGGCAAGTTTTTGTGTTGTTTTGGTTGACAACCCATAGAGAAGTTTTGAGGCCCTTAAAAGATAATTTGATAAAGATGTTTTTTCTTCGTTGGAAAAGATTTGCATGTTAATGAAGTTAGGTTTGAAGACTGTTTAATTGACATTTCCTTACATATCTCTTAAGTGTTATTAAATTGATTCCCTTCTCTTTAGATACATGATAAACCGTACCACCATTAAGAACTGCATTAACAGCTGCTCGCATTTCATTCTCATTAACTTTACCTCTAGGTGGTCTATCGGTTTTTCTTTTTTTATGATACACCATATTTAACTGTAAAAAAATGAAACGTATTTATATATTAACGTATTATATTATATTTATATCTTCTTAGTTCTCCCATTTGTTTAGCATAATTTTGTTATATTCCTAATTTTTGGCTAAACATTTATAAAGATTTTTACTTACTTAAATCTTCTTTATTAACAAACACACACACACACACACAGATATATATATATATATATATATATATATATATATATATATATATATATATATATATATATATATATATATATATATATATATATGTGTATATATATGTGTGTGTGTGTGTGTGTGTGTGTGTGTGTGCGTGTGTGTGTGTGTGTGTGTGTGTGTGTGTATATATATATATATATATATATATATATATATATATATACACATATAGAATACTTAACAATTATATTATATAAAAGTTTGAGGAGAACAAAAAAAAAAAATACAAAATATTATAAAATCTTTATTTTAAGGCTTTATTTTAAAAGAAAAAAATATATTTAAAAACAATATGACGTATTGTATATGTTACTTTAAAAGTTAATCATTTTATGAGTGTGTGTGTGTGTATCGACCTTTGATCATAGGATCAAAGGTGCATAAACGCATTAGAATCAAGGGTACTAACCCACTCCATTTTTTCAAAAATTCTTTTTTTAGATGCTTCTATAGCTTACCAAAAGCAACCATACAAGAGGTGAATAGTTTAGTTACAAAATGACATAAGCAAAATGATTTAACTTAAAAAAATATTAAAGATGTGAGGTTCCTTGTATAAGTTAAAAAATTACTTTTTGTCGCCAAAATCAAACTATTTAGAAATAAATTTAATAGTGGTCTATTCTCTAACCAAAAAACAATTAATTTTGAAGATACAATATTTATAATAAGTTATGCAAGTATAGAGATAACGCTATAGGATCATAGGTGCAAGTTCTCCCCTACTAGAAAATACTGGAAATTTCTTAGAAATTTTTACAAAATATTCTTGAAAAAAATAAATAAAAATAAAAAATAGTAGCAGCAGCATTAGTAGTAGTAGTAGTAGTAGTAGTAGTAGTAGTAGTAGTAGTAGTAGTAGTAGTAGTAGTAGTAGTAGTAGTAGTAGTAGTAGTAGAAGTAGTATCAGCAGCAGTAGTAGTAATATATAGTTGTTACAACAAAAGTAAAAATAATTGACAAAATACAATCGTAGATTGTCAGAATACAGTTAGTTTCTGTGAAGCTCATAGTACAACTTTCATTAAGGAAAGCTGCGAGCTGTAGTAACATAGGAGTCAATCGAGGCTTGCTTTGAAGCTATTGACAGTCAAAGAATTGAATACTTTCCCGGCTCTTGATAATTTCTGTTGGCTAAAATTACATCATCTTCTTAGTTCCCCCATTTGTTTAGCATTATACAAATGTCTGTTAGTGTAAATGTCTTTAGCGTAAGTTAAGTTCGCAGTCAGTACAATTGTGTATAATATATTTATAATGTGAGAAAACTTAAAAATTTAATTTTAACAATAAAAATTAGATCTTTTTTACTATTTATATATATATTTTTTGCTTTAAACTTATACAGCAAGATTGAAAAAATTGAAAAAAAAAAATTTGTTTCGGGAAGGATATGAACCCTCCATAAAGACACTGATGACAGCACTCTAAACCACTGAACTATTGAAGATATGGATTTAGGAGAAATAAAAACATTTTTTAAATCTCTTATAAGCTCTTTGCATATAGAGAAGGTGCTTATGTTTTTTTTTTTTTTTTGCACTTAAATAAATACGTAAAATAAGTAATAAATATAAAAATGATTGGTGTGGAATAGAAAAGTATAGAAATGGCCGTTTGGTAAAGAAGAAAGACTTGTATTTTATAGTTCAGGACAGCTAGGATATATGTATAAGGAAAAAGTTTAGATAAGGTTGATGTAACGGGTGGTTGCTAAAAATCCGGATTAACTGAATTTTAAATGCCACAAGCTAAATCTTTTTTATTCATGTTTATATCCATTTTATAGCTTATTTAATTCTCTATAAGTTAATTTTTTTTTTTTAGATAATTAATAATAATTAAAAAAATAATGATGACCAAGCAAGAAGAGGTAAGAAAACGGATTTACAAGTTCTATTTGAATAATAAATTGCAAGGTAAAAAGTTTACAGTAGTTCACTTCAATGCTGAAAAAATCCCAAGAAGCACTATCTATGATATAATCAAACGTGTTGAGAATGATTCTGGGCACAAAAGAGTGCAAGGAAGTGGTCGTGTGGCCAAAATCATGACCCCTAAGAGGATCAAGCGCCTGAAAGCCATATTTGATCACAGTGACCGAGTTTCGATGAGGCAAGCTGGTCGAAAATTTGGATGCAGTCATTCACATATCATTAAAACTCTTGCCAAGTACACTGACATCAAAAGTTATACAAAACAGGGTATACCTCATCGACAAGAGAACTAGAATGAGCGAATCAAAACTGGCATTGATCGTCTTTATCGCGTTTTTAAAGGAAAATCGGTCATCCTTGACGATGAGTCTTACTTCACGCTGTCACACTCAACAATTAATGGAAACAGCACCTACTACTCTAGCAACAGAGACAAGACTCCACCAAGTGTTAAATATCGCAAAAAGCGCAAGTTCGAACCCAAGGTGCTTGTCTGGCTGGCCGCTTCTGACAAAGGTGTTTCAAAACCATTTTTTATACCCAGCGGCCTTGCAGCCAATAAAGCCATCTATGAAATAAATTGTATTAGGAAAAGATTAGTGCCGTTCATCAACACTTATCATGCCGATGGTAATTACATATTTTGGCCGGACCTGGCTTCATCGCATTATGCCAAAACCGTGACCAGCTGCTACGAGACTCA